AAAATCAATAAAAAGTAGATATTCTGATTCAGCTCGATGAGCTCTATCAAACCATATATAAATCAGGAAAAAACATTTCTGCTCCGTTTTTGCATTTGGCGCACCTTATGAAATCTATGGAAAATGTTATTTTGTTTTCATACTTGTAAAATACAGTTAGTAAGTGACGACTGATTGTTACACTCACCGTCTTCCCCCACAGCGAAGCTGAAGAAAAAACCAAGTTTTAAAATTATATTCAATGTTTGTATGGTGAAAAAAATTCTTTCATCTCTTTGCTTCTTTATGCAATTATTCGACATCAAGCTTCGAGAAAGAGAAGAAAGAAAAAAATACAATATAAACGCCTTATAGGTGTCACCAAGGTAACGACATATGTTTGCGTAGTCAACGCATATATATACGTAAAGCAAAAGTTGACTGTTTCATTTTCATTCTGATAAACTGATTTGTGAAGGGTATGGGTGTGGGTGGATGTGGGCCGCTGTGAATGCCCTTCATTCATCACACCCATCCCGCCACACCCTCAAGATAGTTCGTTGCCCCATGGTTTTCGACCGGTATCTATTCTTCAGATCGATATTAGTTCGACTTCTTTCAACTTAAAATTGAACTACATTCTATACGCTCTCAATACATTTCTTGCGTCAAGAAGTATCATCATGCGATCGCTTAGACATACTAGCTGTTATAATACTAACAAGCACTCGATGTAATGGTAACAGATAAAGTTTCGCTAGTTTTATTGTTCTATTTCTTTTTATAAATTAATTTAGAGTTAATTTTGAAATAAAACGAAGAAGTACTCAAAATATATTCAAAAAATCTGAGGATGCCCACCAATTTATTGTTGAGATTCGTAACTAATGCAAAGTTAATTTTTACATTGAAACTTTCTTCCATTCGGTCAATGAAAGATTTCAAAACCGCGTCAATTGAGAAGTAATCGGGATTAGATACGGGTTCACATCCTATCCAAAGAGTTGTACTCTACAGCCAAATCCTTAATTTAATTGAGTAACTTGTAAAAAATAGAAAAGAAATAAAATATTAATTAACATATCCTTTCTAATTACTCGACAACGAAACAAAAATAGAAGAGTATTAAAACCCAGTCGATTTCAAGCTGTTAATTACAAAATTTTATTTGCATTTGACATTCGTTTTTCTACTTCATTAGGAAAGTTTACCCAATTTGAAAAAGATAATGAAAACAAATGCGACGTGTGCATCACTTTTGAAAAATATTCATAATCAATATTTGCGAGATCAACGCAACAAGCTGCTGCCAGATATTAAACTGATATTTGGCTATATGTTCATTTCAGTTGCTGTACTAATATTATTTCGATGCCCTAATCAATTGTATAATATTTGGAATGGACCATTCTCAATGAATCTAGAACAATTTCGAAATCATTTGGAAACTAATTACAATTTCCTTGGTTTTAAAGCTTTCGCTTCATGGCATTCATTTCTCTTTCAACCAGAGTATCTTCAAGTTGAACTAGGCATAGATGCTATTGATTCAAATTCGAAGCATTCATTTTCAGTTTTTTCTGATCATGATTCACAACGATTTCCAATATACAGATTTGAACGAGTCGTACAATCCAGCATTGATACATCGAAGATGACATTATATATTAAATTTGCTACAAATGGTCAACCATACTCTCAACTGCAGTATCCATATCGATTTGAATCGTTTCAGATAAAAACACTACGCTGTATTGTCAAATGTGTTGGTATTCCAGTAAAAGAATTTTTAAATTGGCCTGAAAAAATAATATACGTTGAAAACATCGAAAAGATTTATAAACAAAACGTCAGTTTATTCAATGAAAAAGTCATTAAAAAATGTGGCATTTTATTAGGATATTTGTATGTGCCTTCGAATGAAGTCACTTATAAAGTTGATGGACACAGTTATTATGGGTTAACAGAAAATGTTCGAGCATTCGATGCTTCATCATCTTACATTTCCTATTTTCCACATTGTTTGCTTGGTTTCGTAATACTCATTTTCCTTGGCAATCTTTTACATCGTTCTGGGAATGTTATCCATTTTCTACGTCTACCATCAGAATTCTCTCATGTTGGTATTGAAGAACAGCTAATGAAACTAGATGGTATTTCTTTAAAAGATTTGGATAATCTTTTGTTAGAAACAACTGCTGAAAATAACCATTATAATAGTATGTTTATAGTAAATGAGAAATATCTCATTATGTTCATGGTAGATACTAATGAAAATTCTTCTGATATTCTGCGCAGCTTTTATTCACTAACTCCATTTCTTATTATTAATATTCATAGTATTATTTCGGTGAGGTCACGGTTTATTGTGACGAGATCTAATAGTTGCAATAAGTATACCTATTTTTCTGAATATACAAGAGAACATTCTTTTGATCAAGCGAAATGGTTACACGAAAGATTAATACTTCTGAGTACTGATTATCAACAGAGGTATGTTGAACTGTTGTTTTTGTGAATGTTGATAATGAATAGAAGTCAAATGATTGTAAACTATTTCAGGTATCAACAGGAAGCATTGCGTAACGCTGAAGACGACCGAAAGCATCATCTTGAACAGTTAATTAGAGAAGAAACAGAATATCAGAGACGTGAATATGACA